GTTTACAGTGTGGCGGCTAGTTTCAAAACGCGCGGGCTAGTGGAGCCATGGAGCAAGCAAGCTCGTACAACTCGTCCGGCCCCGCCCCTTTCCCGTTTCGGGAAAGAAAGATAGGTTATTCTTGTTTGGGGCTTCATCGACGATTTTCTTTGCTCCTCTTTTCATTTTTAGTTACCCTTATCGACAACTCCCGTACTGACCTGCTGTGACGCCACAAATTTGAGCTAGGGGTGTTGCCTCAACGCTTATAATTACCTTCACGTAGGAGATGTTGCCGAGTAGCAGAACCGCCGAAATGAGACCAAAAAGCGTCGATTGGGTGCAAGAGTTGAACCCGACGCTGCTCATCGCTCGTCGCAATCGCTCAAACTCGTATTTCTCATTCACACCTTCAGGAGAGAACTGCTCGTGCTATAAATTACACCATTACTTGTGACCTCAACGGGTTAACGGCAGTAACGGACCTGATTGAGGTAATGGTAATCCTGGGGCTTCAATAGAAAATACTTGGCACGATCGGCTTCACTTGCGCCTTCCAAGAGGTAGTAGAACACGTGGTAATTTCTAAAGAATTTCTATGAGATCCAGAAACTAATCGATAAACATCAACATCACTCGCCTTTCACCTTTCGCCTGAGAAATTATCCTAGATTTCTCCAGAAGATAAATTTCAACATTTGCCCTGGAATAAAATAAAACATCCGGTCGTACCTGTACGGGGAACGATCAATACATATGAAATGCACTCTCACCCAGATACCATTCCATTCTCCCTGTAGTTGATTTTGATGAATTTACCAAATCTACTGCTGTTATTATTTTGCAGCGTGACGGCGTTACCGAATGCCTGAAATTCAATAACTTCTCTGGAGCTATGATCAGCGCCAAAAGGGTGAAGATGACCTCGAGGACGGGTCCAGCATTGAGTAGAGTGGTCTCGGAAGTGCAGGCACTGCTGCCCTTCTGGGATAGCGACGTCAGATGAGAGATCAGATGGTTCGTGGACTCGGTTTTACCTGACCCGCTTTCACCACTGATCACCACACATTGACTCTCCTTGATTCGTAACATACTGAAACACTGAGGGATTAAGCGGAAACGCAATCGATTACGGTATAGAATTCGATGAGGTGTGTTACGGTAACTAGGACAACTGAAGCACCCCTACAACATTTGGGTTAACCGACAGGAGACCCAGCCGCTGCGTGGCGAGAAGGCAGACGGAGTGGGCGGGTACGGGTCGCAGCGCGTGCGGGAAGTTAGGGGATTTAATTGACGTAGAAATCACTGCAATACGCGCTGCAACTGTCTGCAAGAGGTCTCCGGCTTTGCCTTTCGTGTCGCCGCGCCTCCTGTCGACAACCCGAAATTCGCGTGCACTTCCAAGCCATTAAGAACTCGCGTTTCTACGACACGATCAGGTTGATGTCAGAGCTCTTAGTATTCACCACATTTTCAAAGTGTATCCTCCCAACTCTTTACAAATTATCGTACCCTTAGTACGTCTTGAGTCGTTACTTATTTGAAGGATAATGAAGAATAGCAAGATAGTATATCGCTTTATCTTTAATGATTACCAAGTGGACGTCGCGCATATAGCGAGTGTTGAGGCTAGGGAAGCGGCCGCAGTTCCGACTCTCCGTATACACTCGCAGTATTTCGGTTGTAAATTGGAAGAATCTGAAAAAAATTAGTCACAATTGAGCCTTCAATTAGTAATAGTTTGTTCTGTCCCTGAAGTAGTTATCCTTCTATTTTATAAAGCGCTAACTTTGTGTGTCGGTTTTATGTTTGTATGTGTGTGTATGTATGTATGTATGTATGTGTGTCCGTCCGCAAAATGAAGTGAGTGAGAAGGAAGCTCATGGGATAAACAAACCGCTAACAAATCGGGTAGCTTACAGGATTTGAGATATCAATGTTTTGTAGCAGGATAGTTGTGATAACACTCTTAGGGCTATATAAACACCTGCTTAGCACACTTCCGTTCATTCCACATGGTGCTGCAGTGGCAGCTGGAGGGCAGTGGAGAGAGGAAGGGAAGGATGAGGAAGGGCAAGCGAAAAATCTACCGTCATATCATGATTGTGTCCCTTCTACTGTATGAAACACCATTGTGTTGCATACGCGTCACTTCCACGAGGTGTTGGTGTCACAGGAGGAAGGGACCATAGCGGAGGATAGAAAGCTTGCGCAGGAAAGGAAGGTCCCGGCGGTTGACGGGGGACTAATCTGGTACATTATAATTGCTGGAATATGTGAGACTTCAAAATTTTATGCAAAGGTGTCAAAATTCTTGTAGAAAAGATCATTAGCGGCAATCTTGCAAAAGCCTTCCAAGACTTTGAAAGCCTTTCTCAGTGGGCAGTGCAATACAAGTGCGATGGGCACGCCTGGATTTTCGGGTTACGGTAGGCGCGAAATGTACGTGATGACCGCAGCCCAGTGCTATGACCTAACGATAATCGATGGACTAAGCCTTTCGAAAGGAGCCTCTCCCTTCTCCAAAAGCTTGGAGCCAATCGCGATCAAATAGCGTGGAATCGGAACGCTCCAGCAGGATAATTACCATCAAAAGTAGAAAAACAACAAAGAAGCAGTGATTACCGATATCACAGCGTCTCGTTACATCGTGACCCCGCGTACATTTCGCACCTACCATAACCCGAAAATACGGGAGTGCCCATCGCGCTTGTATTGCACCCAGCGAACTTCCTTTCGACAATAAGAGAAAAACAGATGAAAATGTCGCAAATGGCGGGAGAGACGGAAAGAAGTCGAAAAATTTGAAGTATTGACTGCGTCACTGGCTTGACATGACAGTCAAAGCAACAACCCCAGATCAAACTGATGGAGCAACAGTGGTCGATAATGAAATTGTGGATGCCGAGTTGGCCGGTGAAAAGAAGCAAAGCAACCATTGACTGAAATAGCCCTTGATACAAGGACTCCTCTCTCCCTAAATGAAGGGAGGAGAGCCGTGTCGGCGATGGTGCCTGCAAATTGCTTGCATCCATGACTCCACATCCCGCACGTAGCCATTTACGCCGTAAAGCCGGCTTTTGCATGGTCATTAGGAGTTGTGACGCGAATTTTTCTGTTCCATTATGACTCACACCAACACCTGTCATTAGGCTTCTTCATAGACCATGAGCATCAACCTGCGTCACTTTCGAGCCGCGAACGGCTAACGGCATAAAACGTTATACTCCCTCGGCACTACTCTGTATCCCATCAATCGAATCTCTCTACACATCTGGGGATTGCTCTTCGGTAGTCCATCGCTTTGCCGTTGCAAAGGAACATACTCTACGAAGGAAAAGCTGCCTCCGCTTCACCCATCCTATGAAGAATCTCTCCACGCATCTTCTTATTAACTTATCACGCCATGATACATAAGAATCATGCGTAAATAAAGTCAAATTGATCTGTTCAAGAGAGAGGGTTCCCTTGTTAGAGCCAAATATCGAGTTGCGGATAATTACTAAATACGACCCCTCTCCTGCTTCTTTGAAATTTGAACTTCGAAAATTGAATTTCTGAAAAGTAGCACAAGGCTAGGATTGACCTTGCCGTGTCGGACTAGAAAAAGGAAAATCTGATCCAAATGTTTTCAGTTTAGAATCTTCTGCCGCGCCTGCTCGGCACTTCGCCATCATCGCCTCAGAGAGGTTATTTCACATCTCCACTCTCAATTTCAAAACAATCACTTCTTCAATTTCTTCCCTGCTTATTCGTGAAATCTAGTTAGCTTAACATTGAACGCAATTTCCACACATTATAGCCTCACTGCATTGCGGCGATTCGTATGGACGGCTAAAGATATTTCCGGCCAGCTCGACATCTAACAGCCTAGAAAAACTCTCAGCTGATAGGCGGCATATGACGGGGCGCCAGACGTATTGTTGATCACAGCGATTGATCCGTCGTTGTGTACGCAAATATTAGGTGGCGCAATGAATATTAGTGTTCGTATGAAGTAGACTTGAAAGTTATTCCAGTAATTTTGAACAGTTTACATTTCCGTGAAGTAAAATTAAAATTCATCCGTCCAATTTCTTCAGAGGAGGCGGAAGGGTGAAAAACTGGCGGTGAAATAATAGATAACGCACGCCGGGGATTTCTCGGGTCACTGCAAAAATTGGATTAACCTCAGTCGGCACAACCTTTCGTACAACGTGACCCACCCTTTCTTACTGGAATAAATTCCGCGCTTATTTGCAATTGAGGAGAAGAACTTTCAAGAAGTTCAGCTCACCTGAATGGATTGACAGCGACTAGAATCGGTCCAATGTAGGTGTAGATGTGGCCGCTATTAAAACGATCCCTGAGATTATCGAGCAACGTTTGTTCAGTAAGCTCGGGAAGCATACACAGGTCGGCATATTCTCGATCCTATAATAGCTACAGATATTTAAAACTACTATGCTGGACATTATGTGCTTCTCTGGAGTGCGTTTTCTTTTTGTTGCTGAGTGATGACCTTTTTTTTGATCTCTGAAAATATTGCGACCCTCTCCTCTTACAGGACCTCGATAGCCGAAATCGTCAAAACTCGAAAAATGATTCCCTTTCGCAAAAACACGACCTCTCAAACCCCCAAGTAATGACCCCATCCGAACTTTTTGAAGAGAATCAACCTCAGACGACTCCAAAAACTGCAAATGCGACCACTGTCTGACACGGTCAGACAGACGGTTGGCCCTGGTTCTCAGAGCTCCCTCTTTCTCCTTCCAAAAAAGGAAGTGCTGAAACATTTCTGAAGTTTCTGTAATGGCAGTACTTGAATAAAAAGGGATGGAAGGATCAACAAGTGAGGTGAGCAATTAGTCGAAAGTGTAAGCGTGAAGACGAATGCTCTATCACCAAGAAAGTCCTCCAGGTTGTGCCCCGCTTTTTCACAATTGTTTCTTGCATTATATAAGGACACATGCATGGAACAAAAGACTACGGTTCATTTTTCCCTGAGCAGCCCTCGGAACGTCAAAAAAGCGATGAAAGGTTGGTCCGTGATTCGAATCCCGCGGCGACGAAGTTTTGCATTTTAGCGCTCAGGAAAGAATTAATCACACTTTCTGCTCCATGCATTTGCCACTTTCTCAAAAGAAGGACCGTTTTTGGAAAACAGGCACGACCTGAAAGACTTCTCTGGTTAAACCAAAACGATTCAGTGAGCGGTGGCCATCCCCTTTTGCGTAAATTTTGCTGCCACCTCTGCCCTAGCCAAAGCATTTTGCTGAAACAGCTTTCCTAACTTTTTTGTCAATAAATTTTTTGTAGTAGTCGATGAATATAAGAATCATTGATGTAATAGAATAGCAGGACTCACGTGAGGTTGCTGAAGAAATCTTGACAAAAACGAATCGATCGTACTGGCAGCTTCAGCAGAACCGAATCGAGTGCATGATGAACCTGTGCGGGCTCCCTTATGCCTTAATTATGCCTTGAGTTAGGATTGAGCAGAAAATAAAGAGAACAGTAGACATTTACAAAAATGCCGATTTATGGGTGAAACTTCTCACCGTAGACAGAACTCGAACCCGCTTATTCTGGGTGAACTAGGTCAAAAGCAGGCCTTAAAGGCACTGGTCGGGGTCGAATTGCTGTGTTACTTTGTTAAAATTTAACATGAAGTGTGCTGAGGAGCGTCAGTAGAAATGAAAAAGCGCCATAGAAAACCTGAAATTCCCCCTGTGAGTTCGGCTGTGGTATGACGGTGAGATACAGCGCTGCGAGGAAAGGGAAACGAGAGATAGTGCGTCGTACAGGAGAGGTCGCAGACGCCAGGTACGGCGCGATTGATAGAGCGGCAGCGAAGGCAGCGTTTAAAGAAGGCCTTAGCGCCCTCGCCTTTGTCACAGCAGGACGACGTAGCTCGGTGAAGCGGAAAGGCCTATTTGGAGGAAGCCCCTCTGGCAAACCCCGATCCCGACCCGTGATTTAAACAACCAAAAACTGGATACTTTAATGATATGCAAGAAGCTCCGAATACGAACGGTATGTTGTTTGCAAAGTTGTTCTCCACCAGGCATTGATGACTCCAGGAATCAATTTCTTACCGGATACTCACCCAGATCTTAGCCGACGTTCCTAGATCATGCCATTTCGATGTACAACCTATCGAGAGGCAGGATAGGGCCAAATAATGTATCGTGACTACACAAACTTGGAAGTTGTAGCTATGATAAGCTTACTTATATTTTGGTCAAATTTGGGCAAATGACGTTCATATAACAGTTTTATTCAGAGCCGGAGTCTCTACTAGAGGACTTGAAAAATTGCAAGAAAAATAAGCCCTGGCGAACAACTGCTGTGTCTCGTGTACATCGATCAGTGCCTATGATTCGACACTCGACGACCCAAGCTTTAATTATAATGTATGCTGTGAGGATCAATGTTTATCTGTTGAGTTTGCCTCTTTGAGCAGCGGACGAGATGAGTCGCATGTAAGGTTGGTGCCAAAGTCCACGAGATTCGCGCGAATCGCGCGACGGATCGCGGACTCTGACACCAATCTTCATATTCGTGGAATAATAATGGAATAATATAATCCAATCATGTCAAATAGTGACAGGGCTTGGCTACCGCCAAGGAATTACCGTAGCCTATGAATCTAGAACAGCGCTAAATTTAAGCTCCTACCACTACTGTGGCGCCGAGGTCACCATTCCCGACGGTGCAGGTGTTTGCCGTGGATTCCATTCGTGGATGGCCACCGGCGCTTCTTTGTCCTTTGGCCTTTTCGACCTCTCAGCTATTTTACTTCAGAATACTGGACTTTTTCCCAACTATGACGGCGGGAGATGGCCTGGCTTCGATCCTCTTTGTTTATTTGTTTATTTGACATTCATTCGGTGTTTACTAAGTGTTTACCTTTCTTACCCTGTAAGAGCGTGCCATTTGGTGGCACATAAATAATTAAATAAATAAAATGAGAAGGGTTATATGAATTTCCGATCTTTATAGAAACCCAGTGTTTGCATACCTTCGAGGCCTGCCCGTCCGGAGTCACCATCATCTCGAAAATGTCAAAGTCCTCGGCAGATTGCCCAACCAAATCTGAACAGACCATCCTTTGTCCCACGGCTGTTGCAGAATGATATTTCCAGATGATTATAAGTTCAGGAACATAGGGCGGTATACCGTAACCCTCTCGATGTTTGATGGAGGCTTGCGACTGCGCCCTGGCGCTAATGCGGGTTACGGTATACCATCCTGTTTTCCTGAACTTATAAACTTGTGGTATTCCCTATGGGACTTACCCGTGCGTAGAGAGATCACCCGCTCGATGAGCTCCTCTGTGGTGGAGCGCTTGTGTAGGTCGATACATACGCGATCATTTTGATCTTCAGGATTAAAGCAGTGCATGTACACCTGAAAGGACTGAGTAGTACTACAGTAGTACTAGTACTTGAGTAATAGCCGAAATTATGTGTTGAGCAGGAAACCCACCGTGACCATATAGTTGTGCGCTTCATCGGGAGCTGTGATGGTGTGCGCACGCCGGGGAAAACATCCCGGCGCACCAGAAGAGATCGAATCAAACGACATCAATGGACGTGTGTGGGGGCTGGATGCTGTACATCTGATCACTTAGCAAACCGTCGCCTTGTTCTGTAGCTGCCAAAACGAGTTGCTAGCATAGAGAAGCCTTGCTTTGAACCTTCAAAGCGGCAAACTCCTGCAACTGTACGGCTGATCGAATACAAAAGCTTAAAAGCTGAGATAAGTACGCACGAATATGGAAGTCTATGGCACCAAGGCAGCGTTCAGAGTTAGCGAGCGGTTAGGCGATTAGGGGATGATTCAAAAAGAAAAGTAACCGCCTAATCGTCGTACGATCGCCAACTCCGAACTGTGCCCGATTTAAAGCGGGCCATTGCCGCCGCCTGGTTGCAAGGCGGGGCATTTCAGATGCAAGGATTTTGTTGATCATAAAGCTCTAATTTCAAGAAATATGGAAGTACTATTGGCAGTAGTCAGCGTCAGAGGTTGGGACCGTAAATGCCGATTAGGCCGACTAGGCGATGATTTAAAAACGAAATACGAATACATATTTCGCATCAGTGCATAGGCGATTTAGGCGACAGGGCGAGGAGTCAAAAGGAAGATGATTGTATTTAAATTCTGCTGCTCTCAGACACTGCGGCGGGTCGCCCTATAATTGCCTGCGCTACTCCGTCATTAATTCTCTCTTGTATTTGTACTCCCATTTTCTTGGACTAACGCCTAATCTCATTTACGCCAACTCTAAACGCTGCTTAGGAAGTTGAGCATTTTGGTGCAATAATTGTGCGGATCATGGTAACTATTATATTTGAAAAAGAAGCTTGCGAAAAGATGTGGGAAACAGCTCCCTACTGCGAAAAGGAAACTAGCGGAGTGTTACTTTTTAAGATAATAATGGAATAAAGTATTTTTCGAAATTTCAAATGCAAGACGCTTTGCAGGGAAATGCCCCACCTTAGTAACATAGACGCTGAAGACGGAGAAAAAAGACAAGTTGAGAAACGCCAGTAAAATCTGTATTGTTAACCGTCTCAGTTACAAGCAGCATAGAACTCGAATCAGTACTGAGACAAAATATCTCGAGATTTCTATAGAGTTGAACTTGGATTGAATTTACTCCTAGAAGAAACACAATTCAGCACAAACCGGACCGATTATCGTGTTCAATACAGATCAAGAAAAGATTGAGAACTCGAGACACAAAAACCTTGACTTGAAATATTTTCTAAGCTGAGCTCAATTGAAGTATAATATAAAATAATGATGTATAAAAATTTCAAACAATAATATCAAGCTCCGGAAACAAATTTATAATAAGGATAATGATGAAGTAATAGTGATCTAAATAACAAAATAGCTTGATTTAAAATCAATTAGGGCTGTAAAAACATAATTTTTATGAGCAATGAATGGCTCCTGATGATAAGTTGTTGCAGAGGAGAAGCACGCATTCAAATGCTCTACGAATTTGAACGGAAGTCGAGTATGTGGCGCACGCTATATAAGGAGATCACTGTTTATCATTTATCATCAAAATCATCACTTATCATTAAAAATGCGAAAACGTGCAGGACGCATTGTAAACTCATTTGCAATGGGTAATATGTTTTGAGATTCCTACACAATCTCTCCTTATTTTCAGCCCATTCATTCAATCTGGTTGAATGCAAGAACTACAAAGAACATATCAAGAAAATATTACCTAGCTTATCACTATCACAGTTCAAACATCTCATGGCCAATATCCTGCTGGGGTCGTATCCAATCCTCCCCCCCCCCCAAGCAAAGGAAAAGACTTTTTTTGAATTTTCTCCGTTTTTTTTAACCAGAATTGCCCTGAAAGCGGCCTAATTGAAATGTATGTACGTGCTTGGAAGTAAATTGTACTAAAAGTGGAAACTGAACCGTTGATCAATAAATTTAAAGGATCTTTTCTCACCCCAGCCTTTGGTGAGGATTGGATGCGGTCCCTGAAGTACGAAGAAGTCAAATGTTCCATGAGATGGATTGTCACGTGGTGATGGGTCCTGGGATGTTCAGTGATTTTATCGATTCCTATGGATGTTCTATGTTCGATTTACTTACTTATGTTAGTCGTGTTGCATTGTTTCTACCGTATGCCTGCCGCAGACATAACAACTACAGAGGTCGCCCAATAGAAATGAGAAGAACGACAGATATGCTTAAAACTAATATATGGCAAAGAAGAGGTGATTAACCGTTAAATTGTTCGTTTCGCCTCTATCCCAGACTGAACAACTTTCAGTCGTCAGCCCTTGAGGCACATCAGTGGGATACGGGTTGACGACCAGACAAACACAAGTAATGAAGTAATACCATAATGAGGTAAGGGAACTTATGAGAAGGGAGGTATTTGACGTCTCAACGAAAGTGTGTCACTAGGGGAGGCTTCCAAATGTCCACTAGAGCCTCTAAAATCGGACTTGTAGTAAACTGAGAGAGCTGCGAAGGGTAGTTACAAATGGGGAGAGCAAAACTGCTATGGTTTTGAACCTGCAAGGAGCTGGGGGGGAGGTCAAAGTTGCGTTGCGAAGCTACATCGGTATGATGAATTTGGTAGGACTTCCCAAGTTGAAGCGCCTACTGTAGTGGATCAGAAAAGTGTCGCCGGAACCGTTTTTCGTTGTAGCCTTGTTAACTTTCTTCCCTCTCAAGAGGAAAGATCTTAGAAGATTAGCTTGAAGCCCTTCTTTCAAATACCTAAACTCCTCATAAATTAAGTTTTAGAAAGCATTGAAAGGCTTTCTTTATTAAATATTTGAAGGGTACTGTGGAGTGAGAAAAACCAATGCACGAAAACTTTCGGCGAACACTGCAGTCAACTGTAGCTGGGGCAAAACTTCTTTTGGTCACGAGGGAACGCGAACTTGATCATTTGTTCGCATACAATTGCAGGCAGCGTTTACGTAACTGCTTTTAAACTTTCTTTGGATAAATATGATTGAAGATAAACATAATAAATAATGAAAAAAATAAAAGAATAATATAAACAAGAGGTTCAGCTGATCGATTTGCTGGTTCAGGTTGAAGTGCTATAGGAAGTCTTTCTTGATGAGATTGGTTCATTGATTTCGCGATTTATATCAGACCATGACCATAAAACTTTTGAGATCTCGCAAGTTGAGAAGTGCGGCTGATCAAAGTCACATGAGCGCAAAAACACACGGCGAAAGCTCGCAATGAGAATCGAAAAGCGATAAATTTCAAGCTTAAAAAACCAAATTGTGCTCGATTCTCGGTTTATTTATCTGTTTATTTATTTACTAGTCAATCACAGAAGATTTGGCACAGTTGTAATCAAGTATTCCACAACAAATTGATATAGCTTTAGTAGAATAAGTTAGATTACTGAGGTAAATCTCAATAAGACACCAATTGCGAAAGTGCTGATGTTAAGCTTAATTGAAACGGGTTGAGCAATTCCTTTAGAATCGCAATCTATCCACTATGGGAATTCATTTGAGGGCGCCAATGGCTCGGGTGGGACACGCAACATCGACGTCAAAATCCGCGAAACTATACCGCTTTAGACTAAGCTCTGTATAGAGCGAGAACACTCTGCTTACGGAAGCAATTCGTTTTTCGGCGACTTGGTCCCTTGCCGTTTGAGGCTTAGCCGGAGATCAATTTCTCAAGCATGCCCCCGAGCCATATTGCGCCGCTTTTATTCATTTTTTAGTTTGTCACCTGACCTTGTGCAATAGCTATAAATAAATAAATAATCAAATAAATTCACTTCGAGAAGCACTATGGATCCGAAAACTACGGAGCGGCGCCTTTTCTCACTTTGTTTATTGAAATATCGGGGAAAAACAACAATAAATAAACAAATGAGGAAACAGAGACCAATGTACTATGAACCAATCGGCCCATGAGGATTCTATCGATGCAGATGGAATTTGAAGAGTTGCGAACTAATCGATAAATATGTGTGATAATCAGCAAAAACAAGGAGCTCGAAGATGAAAGAATGCCAGGCACCTCTGGAAACTGAGGATCCAATTTTGACGCACAAAGTGAAGAGATTTAATTAGCTTGAATTACTTCCATAGACAATCAGCATTTTTTTCTGACAAAACAAAGCAGAGTAAACAAAGGTAAATAGGTAAACAAAACAAGAAACGAGCGAAAAGTTTGGCTGGTGGCTGAAGAGCTGAAAAAATAGCCCAGAAAATGTGATGAATGCTTGCATTTCGATGAGAGTAGATCCGCGTGGGATCGGCGGCGATAGTACTCTTCCTCCTCCCGAGGACCGAGAGGAATCCAGTCATCGAAGACAAATAATCATTGATTGTGTGGGTACGTTCTAGCCCAAATTATTGCACGAGAACGAGGTGAGGGGGCAAAGAAATTGTGAACACGAGAAAGTTTATCACTGGTAAAGAGGAAGAGTGAGGAAGGGAAGGTGTGATGAACGTAGGGGGATGCCCCTAGGGATGAGGATGACCGGCTGCCGATGAACGTGGGCGGTGCGTGAAGCCAGTAGCGCGATGAGCAGACGGATTTATGGGATTCGGAGTGGGGAGAAATTTGGGTGATCCGATAGATCAATAAGCGGGATAGAAAAAAGGCAGAGAGGGAGAGAGGAGGGAGGGGCTCATAGAAGCGGCTGCTCACAACAAACGGCGACAAAGACACCGGCACAGCGGGGAGAGCGCGGAGAAGTGCACCGCGGCGATTGTGGAAAGCTGGCCACTCAGGAAACACTGAGAAGTTCCCCCCACTCAAAACTTCAATTCGATCGTTGAAGTGGGGAAAATCACCCGGGACTATCGGCAATAATAAGCGGTTATCGAATCTCTGGACAAAGCTGAAGAATTCGGCCGAGTTTCTTTTGCCACTAGCAACCGCTGCTGTAAATCTCGCTGACGTAGGCTGAGGCCCCGGATAACGAAACCTTGGCAAGAACAGCAACAGGGCGAGACAGGCTGGCATTAAGGGGGGGGGGGAGGTACTGCTGCAAGGTGTCAGTCAGCAGGCCTTCCGGTACTGATAGCGCTGACAGCGGCGATTAATAAGTGCTGCATCGACACGGCGGCAAGTGTCATCGATCACCTACACACTGACAACACAAAAATCCAGATAACAGCACTCGGTAATCCGTCGCTGATTCCCTCGCAAAAACTTGCCGTGGCGCTCATGTCGTTGGGGGGGGGGGAAGATATATTCGCGTAGATAAGCCATTCAGAGTACCTAGGACTAAGCTTGGAGAGGGGAAGGGATTCTGGATTCTGGAAAAGCACATAAGCGATTTTTTGGCGTTCCTCCACTCTTTGGCGTGCCCCCACCCAGTGTCACCTACAGCGGTATTTGAATGCCTTGGTTCGACATCTCACCGCCGCCCCTTCCCCCCCCCTCACACCCTCCACACGCGAAGGACAGAGCGCCCTGCCCGTCGAGTCAATGCGGAAGGGACTCCATACTTTTTGCTCTTTAGGCAGAACAATCTGGCCCGTAGTCTTTAGTGGCGGCGTATACTGCCTGTGTCGCTTTGGCTTCTCATCAATACCAACCGTCGCGTTCACATTTTCCGAAAATTTTGCGGGCCTTCCTTCAGAGGGGGGGGGGCTTGATTTGACTTCCACCACCAACACCATCAGTCTCAGTAGGCTTCCCCGATCCCCCTCCCGTAAACCTTCTGCCACCCTCACATCATGACTGTTCTCTATGGTATTTTGATTCGAAGGTCCAGTGCAATCCCGTGTTTTCGTAAGAACTTATATCTTATGTTGTAGGCTTCTTTCATGAAATTTTCGCCAAATTCGTCAAAAACCCGTCAAAAATCCCTTTCCCATAACCACGGCCCCTTCAACTTCCTACTACCCTTCATTCGTTACTTTTTCCCCATGAGCTATATTATTGACTCCACACCCCACACATCTACCCTACCCAGAATAGGCGTCAACCGGCGCGGTTGGAGACAATTCGAAAATGCAAATTTACGAACCCCCTCCCCCTTGCCTTAGAGGGCGCCCCTCACGATTACGACACCCTGAGGGTTAACCCTTTATCATCCATCCTCCATCACCCTGCCTCCCATCGCCACTCATGAGGAGGGTGGGGAGACAGTCCCAGACCCTCGCCGTTTACATGCAAAAAACATTTCTATCCCTTACTGATAACATTGACGCACCCGCCAAAACGACCCCCACCCCCTCATGGCGACTTGGACTGTTGACCCCAACGGACGGTCCACCCTGCCCCCGAACTTCTCAAAATCACAAATGGGACCCCCTCGTTTGAATTGTGAGAACGGACCGATGACACCGCTTGCGATTTCAACGTCGGAAAAATGGTTTTCAACGGATTTTCTAATTTTGGTGGGAAAAGAAGGACAAATACAGTGGCTTTTGTGGGCGGAAGGCGGGGGTACTGAGTAGTTTCGCAGCGCATTGTCACATTCATTAAGGTAGCTACAAACTGAGCCACCGAATTGCCAGATGTTCCTTAATGATTTCTCAAATATCGTCAGCCACTGTGCTCGATCTAAGAAACAAGTATATTCTCGCAGAACATCGCTCCACAAAAAGTGTTCAGTGATGTTTGTTCTCCTCCACTGAAAACACGTGGTACGATAAATTTCATCAAAGCCATGTGCTCCTTTCATCTCCCGGCTTTAAAAAAAACCTGGTGACCAAAACGCTACACCACCAAACACGGATGTCTGCATGCGACTACCTTGCCAGCGTTTCTACACGGAAGACTACAGACTCGCAGGGCTGCAGATATTGCATTACAAGAGGCGGCAGTTACGGTAGCCGCCCTAAAGTCCGAAATCATGCGAATAGGCAAATTGGTTTCTGCGGCTTTTATTGATCGAGCAAAGTCCGCATGATCTTCGAAGGAGAAAAGCTTTGAATTCAGCGTGTCAAGCTCTACAAGATGTTCTTCTGAAGTCGTGAGAAACTCTGCTCAAGAATGCGCCATGCACTCGGGTTTTATATCGGGAACGGAATGTAGACGCCGTGCATACATTGCCAATTATGCGAGCTAACCAACCAGCCGGGAAAGAGCTATCCAAAACAGCTCAGAATATGCAGCAAAAAACAAACTTAATAAATCCCGTGCATTCTCATAGAATATAGATTACGACAGCAATTGGTTGGGTAAAGGGGTGACCTTCAAACCATTAACATTTTCGCCGGCATGACTCTGAGTTCGACTATTTAGCGCTTCTCATATGCACCGCAAAACTTCAGAGAGAGGAATTTATCGATTCCCAAGGAAAAAAAAATTCAAGTGAGATACAACACTTCTGTGGCTGTTAACAAAAATAATGAGGGGGAATAGAAAAAGCAAAAAGCGCCATAGAAACACTAAAATTTCCCTTGTGAGGTCAAGCGTGGTATGACGGAGAGACACAGCAGTGCGAGGAGAGGTGAAAACGCGAGAGAGCACGTCGTACGCGAGAGGGCGCAGACGCCACGTATGCCGCGATTGATAAGACATCGGCAGCAGTCGCGCAGACAAGGCCACAGTCTTCGCCCAGACCGCGCACCTTCGAGTCGCGATACTTCGCGACTCTTTCGCCTCGCGCGACCCAACCTTCTCACGCAAGGAAGTATTCGCCGTGACACCGAAGCCCACCCCGCGTATAACAGCCTTCAGCCAAAGGAGAATGTCCTGACATCTCACAAGGAAAGTGAATGAACGAGTACTTATGCGATCCTTATAAATCCATTTGAAGAAAGCTAGAGAGTCGACCGATCACTGCACTCCCACCATGGTGGCTACGTATGGTGAGCTCTAATTGAAAGGACATGACAACTGCACGTACGCACCATGGTGGGAGTGCTGGAAGGATCGTATTATTCTATCGACATTTGGTTGATTTCACCTCGGTTTTTTTTGTTATGCGAGTGGAGCGATAATTATTATCGCAACCAACCCCTCCAGCAAAATTGAATTTTTCGAAGTTCAGAGTACGTTGTTTACGGTAGAGGTGGAAGCCGTGTAGTGGCAATGGCCGCTGCGTATACACGACGCGCGGCACGGAGATCAAATCTCGGCTCGTGCGTAATCTGAGCCAACCAAGCCTTCCATCTCTCCGGGGTCGGTTAGTTGGTACCAGGCTCGCCCAGATAAAAACACTGACTGTATGTCGGGTCGCCATCGCAAGCCATTGTAGAGATCCAAGAGGCATTCAAAATCCCACTGGGATCCTGAATGAAGGAGAATGCGTAGACGTATCCAAACGCGAGATCAACACTAAGGGGTTTATGCTTTGCTAATTACATACATGTGTTATTATAGCTGCCTGATAAATAATTCATTAAAGTCGAAACCTTGGGTAGAGTTGTACTTTTGGAATAAGCTGACTCTCATCGTCATGACGTCAGCCGAGAAAATGTGTGCCAGGGAAAAAGTTCCCTTTACGAGCTCCGTAAATCATAGGCTTTTCTTCACAGCGTTGTTATGAAGATGGCATCCGTAGAGCGTTGAAAAAGCCACAGAAGCCGCGGGAAATTTAGTGCTAGTCTGGAAGAACTTTATTACGTCATATCCCGAGGAGCCTTACCGTACTCTATCATCACAAGAAAGTGTGTAGGAGCTGCCAAGAGCGTGCATCTGAGAAGAAAAAGCTAAAGGAAAGCGGCCAGATAACCCTCTCTTCTCCGTTGGATTCATTGATCTCACGCCAGCATCAGCGTGAATGCTCTATTCAACTACTTTGCTTAAAAAGCTATAGGGCGACGGCGGGCGACCAACAGCTAGAGTGGCCAGCCTGCGGCGTGGACGGCTACGAAGGGAAATACAAAGCCCGGGAAGGGCCTTTTGAGTTGCTCCTTCCACGCAAAACCAGACTCCTCCCGCTCTCTTGAAGGATCTGCCTCTCAGAATGCAGGGCTTCCCCTTCATCGAGCATCAGTTTCATTGCACCAGTCCTTTAAAGAAGGATCTTTGATAAGGATGAAGGTCGAAGAAGGGGAAACTTACCTAGTAAAAGTCAGGCGGACCTCCTAAGAGTGCGGATCGACCCGCAATCCGCATCGAACGATATACGCCCGGCGATCTAGCATGGCCTTCTCGCGAGGTAAGCAAACCAGCCCTTTTGGCGTTTCGGCTGGGACCGTATGCTGAATGTTGGGGAGGGGATGGGGTCCCCAACGGTCGACGGTTTACTTCAACTCGGTTGGTACGATAGGAGAGTACTGACGCAAGTGTGCAGCTGGTCCAGCAGCTCCGCCAGAAGGGCTGGTTTGCTCACCCCAGGACTAAGCCTTGGAGAGGGGACGGACCCGTCCTCTCTTTAAGGCTTAGTTCTGAGGTAAGCACCAAATTGTGGCGGTTCTAAGGACCGAGTTGAAGTGGTCCGTCCACCGTCGGGGACTCCATCCCCTCCCCAACATTCAGCATACGGTCCCAGCCGAAGCGCCAAAAGGGCTGGTTTGCTTACGTCCTTCATTTGGCGCGCTGTTGGCCCGGTAACGCCTCCCTTTCGCTGTCTGGCCCTCTAGCCGACAAAAGGAGAGAGCGGTATCGTTGAAGAGGCAGCAGCGATGAAAGTCGCATCAATGCGCAAATCAACGGGCAAGGAAGGGGTCCCATTTTTCGGGTTCTAGGCCATTTTCTCGTTTTTTCTTCTTTCGTGCACACTGACCATCTCTAACTTAATTTCCAATGGGCTGTCTTTTCGTCGTAAACATAATGGACAAGGGTTTGGTGATCATCTTATACAGTATTTGATGGCCACCACTTCATAACCACTCCGAAAAGTTGTTCAGGACGTGACAGGTGGCGATATTCAAGAGGATTTTTGCATGTCATTCAGACAGGTGCATGGAATCCAAGAATAGGATTTATGGCAGGCGTCCCCTTATGCCAAAGTTGAGGCGTGCGAGGGCAATCTGCTGTTCCTTGAGGCCTCCTTACAAGTACATAATATAGGCAAAACTTCATTCCGGGTAAAATTCCACGAAATTTTATTGTGCAGTTCGAGAAAACCGTTTGCTCTGCAAGTAGCCGATACCAGAAATCTCATACAGTACTCTAAGTTTGTAGGAATTCCACTTGCTTGATATTTTTTCTACTCTTTTTGGCATTGTGAGGGTCACACGTAAGAAAAATGAGCTTTTCTTGGTTTCTTCTTTCATTCATTGTTTCCTGCGCAAGCATGAACCATTTTGTAAATTTGCTCTTTTGACAGACAAGAAGGTGGTTAAGGACCTGGAGAGTTCCAAAATGGTTCTCTGACGCAGTCGAGCCAGTCTGAATGAATTGCTTGTTACGGTAATTTGGTTGCCGCGTATCTTGTGCAACTGCGTATCTCATCGTCGATTTGAGTGATTCCACTTTCCATTTCAATTCTTTAGTACTTTTAATAGGTTTATCGCCTTTAATGGTGCTCTTTCAGCATTTGAAAATATTGCGGATCTTTGTATTCCATCTATAGTGGCAGTACTCTGTTCAGTTTGAGCTCTTTCATCAGCTGAAGATGTCCGTATTGGCTGGGAAGTCATACCACCATAAATTCCGCTAATCCCTTCCTGTGCTTGTATCACAAATTGCCAAAGAAATTGACAAATTCTTCTTTTATGCTAGAAACACTTCTTAGTTCCTCATCTCATCCAGTATGGGGGCATGTGGTGTGACAGTTCTTGCCGGCTACAGAAATTCCAATTTTTGCAAGGGGAGGGAACCCCCGGGGTGCGTGAACCATTTCGCTTGAAGCTTTTACACCCACCCCGGAGCTTCCCTCCCTGAAAAAAGTGGATTACTTCATGCAATATGAACTGTCGCACCACATGCCCCCCCCTTACTGGATGAGACCGCATTTCTTTTTCCACAGTGGATATTGCATGTATATATACAAACATCCCTTTCACAAGTTTAATGACACCTCTTGCCGATTACTGAGCTATTCTTGATTGAGAAAAGCTCTAATGTTGAGTCGTACACTTCTTAAGTATGTATGCCTAGAGTGGAAGCTCTGTTTGATAAGAACTTCTCTCGCTCCTCAATCCGCCCGAGTTATCTTTCTGACATAGTCAGAGCTGAAAGGCAGAGCCTGATTTTTTTGAGCCCGCATGCCAGTCTTTCACAAGGTGTTAATGATACCTTTTGCATATTACTGATCTTTTCTTGATTGAGAAAGCTCTTGTTGAGTGCACACTTCCTGAAGATGCTTAGAATGAAGGTTTTTTTCATGAGAACTTCTCTCACTCCTCAATTCATGCGAGTTATCTTTTGGAAATGGTCGGATGAGAGTAGAGAACTCGCCGGACTTTATGCAAGCCCGCTGCAGTCGGTGCTTTGAACCACACAGTACTTACAATATATCGATGTTATTGGATCTCAGCAATGGTTTGTCCTGGTATCGAAATTGTTTTCATTTAATCTCATTTGCAGAGTACAATGTTGGTGAAAGTCAGTGTTGGATCGAAGTCTTTCCCTATAGAAATAGGGAAAGAAGAAGGCTCAATTTCTACGCTAGGGGAGTTCAAAACACATGTTGCTAAAGAAGCCAATATAGAATCTTCCTGTATGAAAATTATTCATAGAGGTAGGAGTCAATATCACTTTGTGTTTCGCCTTTCAAATCTCTCATGCATTCGAGTTCTAAATAGGCATTCTAGGCGAGTCAGTTATTTTCAAATATACGATATTTTCTGTTATCGCAAATTACAGAACATTCTGTGAAGCTTCTGTCTAGGACACTGAATTAGTTGCTTGAGCTTTTCCAAAATTCCATGGTGGCGGGAAACGGACAAAACAATTAATCACGCAGAACATGTGCAAGACACTTGAAGGCGCATCCACAATGGCAGTTAAAGCAAAAACCCCGGATCAAATCGGTGGATAACAGAGGTCGATAATGAAATTGTGGATGCCGAAGTGTTTGAAAATGACAAGTATTTCGTTTCCTCCTCCATGAAATAAGAAAGGGGCAGGGCCGGACGAGTTATACGAATTTGCTTGCTCCATCGCTTCAGCAACCCGCGCGTATTTGAATTTGCCTTTACGTCGTAATCCACGTCGCGTGTTATAGGATGTGCGCGAGATATCTCGTCCAAAAGTTCACATTAGTCACCATCAGAGCACTGCCGCTGCCGAAAGGCCGAAAATGACGCGGGGACTGACCCTACCGATGTGCCTCCTTGCGATCATCAACACACCCTTGATGCTTCGTAGTATCTATTGCATAGTTACTCACGACCTTGTCTTCTCTATCGCTGATCGTTTTATTCCTTTTTTCCAGTGAAAAACTATTACTGGTGATGATGATCTCTCTCTACTAGATATGAATTTCAAAGATAATGACAAAATATTGATTATGGGTAAGGTATCGTCGTCGTTAAAGGTTAGTCAATCAGCCTTAGTTTTCCGAATTCATGCCGTGGTAGTCTTTTAATGCTTCGGACGTTGCTATACCCATTTCATCCACCGTCCTGCTACAGGCGCTACTCGCTTTCGAGTAACCGAAACCATACTGCTCTCGAATTGAGAAGTGAGCATTTCCAGGACGATCCGGGCTTCTCGGCTCTTGTGGCTTACGAAAAAGCGAATTTGGTGGGACTTCAAAAGCAGCACGAGCAAATAGAAAGCGATCTCAGTGCGATGGAGTTAAATTTTCTTGACGGTAATACATTATGTACTTGAACGTTTAAGGAAGAGATTGTGTGGTGGAATACATATCTTCACACGAGGTATCATTGTGGTTTTCGCGATTGTTCAAAACACATACCCCCTGTGCTCGCTAAAGGCGGTGATCACGGTGGCGGGCAGGCGCAGTTTGGATGACGTCACTGAACGTCCTCGATGGACTAGATCCTTCAGTGCAGTGGGAAGAGTGGTCTGGCTGGGACCGCCTCATAATGCTCGTCCAAAACCACAAGCTATTCGGCACCGATCGCTGCTTTAAGCAAGGGATAGTTTCACGACGCGAAAACCCGCCAGATCGGTGCTTATAACTCCCTTTCTAACACCCTCTAATGTTATGAGTTCGAATTTTCCTGTAGAGCATGTTATTCTTTTACTCGGTGAGGAAATTTGTTGAAATTTCCGTTTACCTTAGTGAGGGTTCCATTTCATTCTTTTTTTTTTTTTTTCTTACAAAATGCTTGCATGTCTAATATTCTAATTGGACCTGAGACAGATAGCCATAATTTTTCAAACTTGAAGTTTGACTCAGTCTGTTGTTCTAAAAACTCGCAGGTACAAACTTCACGTTTCTGTCCTTATCGGATCGGGTCAAACGGTTCCCCTCGAATTCTCTTCATTGGCGATAATTACAGACAAATATTCCGAAATATTTTAAAAAAATACAAGCATTTAAGACAACCTCACTCCCCGTTAAGTGCAGAAATCATTGGAAATGGTCAAGAGAATGGAAAAGAGATTGGCACACTTCACCGAAGCATCGATGAAGCACCTTGAGGCATTGGATGGTTTAAGCATCGTTTGGAGAGCTAACGAGCGAGGCACAGGTAATCCGAAAAAAAAACTTCATTTTGTTTCTGCATATCTCAGAAGTAATAGCTTGCGAAGAACTTACGCTTTCCCTTACAAAGCTTGTCTTACAAGGAAGGTCTTTCAGCGGCAAGGTTCTACGCTTTTGGAAACGTTCATTGCTTTTGTAGGGCGCATGAGTTGACATAAACCACGCTTTTCCGTTTTCGTTGAACGGTTTTAGTAGTACCAAAAAAGTGGTGAATAATACTCTTAGTGGTTCAATCCCCCGCGGCGACCTAAATTTTGCAATCAAGGTTAGCTTCAAAATGGTCCTGACGATGAATTTGACATCTGATTTTGATATTTAGCGCGATTTGGCACCAAACCGTAGGCGCCAACCCAAATGCAAAATTTAGTCGCCACGGGGGATCGAACCATTAACAGTACCTTATGCTTCTTTTTTTGTACTGCTATAACCGTTCAGCGAAAAGAAAATGATGGTTTTGTGTTCCCTACATGCTTCCCTACAATATGCAAAAACCGTTTGAAAGAGCGCGGCTTGCCCTGAAAGACCCCCTTGTTAGGGCTCTCACCTTTCTCCTTGGGAATTGAAGCCAAACCAGGTTCCGTTCTCTAATCGTCTGTGCTGTGGCCATACACGGCAGCACCATTGAGAAAATTCACAGTAAAGTCCGTTAAGTAAACGTTAAGCAGAAGTGGTGGGGTCGCCCGCTCAATGAACCAACAAGAAGGAAAGGCGGTCCACTTATCGCGGTATTCTGGAACGTTTTCCAGGTTTTACACTTCACCCTTCCTGCACCAGCTGACCACCTCTACTCTAATTTCCAATGATCCGCTTTTTCATCGTAAACTCCGCCTTTGAATGGGCCTTCTCCATTCGACGGGAGAGCCCCATAGCGAGCACTGTCTTAGAAATTTTAATATTTTCAATTTGTAGGCAGTACGAAACCGTGAGAAAAGGAAGAGCTTAATTGATGGAATCAACACGCTGCTAAATGGAAATGACAAGCATGTTCGACGATTAGAAGAGTACAAAAAGAAGCTCCTCGGGGAAATTATTGAATGAATCGTTTGACTTGTATGCCCTAGTCCTTCATGTGAGGAGGAACATGTAATAAATTTCTACTGTCTTTTTTCATATACTATCACATACTTTTCGCTACATCAACATAGTGTTTTCTTCTCGAGCGGTCCAACTTGGGTACCCGACAGGAGGCCCGTCGCGCGGCAAGAAGGCAGAGTCAGCGGACGAGTCGCAGCGCGTGATGTGCGATGTAGGACGTACAATGGTACATTCTATTTAACTTGACGCAAAATCATACAGTACGCGCTGCGACTCGTCCGCTGACTCTGCCTTGTTGACGGGCCTCCTGTCTGCTACCCGTCCAACTTACCAGACAAGAAGTAACACTGCACATGGTAATGCAATGTAGTCAGGCTCCGAAGGCGAGTGTTAGACTTCAGTGATCCGTAAAAATGGCACTTTTTTAGTTGAGGTCTCGGCGAACTTCACTCACACGCGATCCTGGCCTAGAAAGTCACAAATGCTAAGCTCACACGTGACTGCAATCCAAAGTTTTTTCAAACGTACGGAAATTGAGATGTTGGGTTTATATCCTGAAATATCCAGTTCTGAGAATTCCGAACTAATAGGCTGACTGTATTCGAGTGGAACATAATTTTCTATGTGTGCAAGTATTGCAACTAGTGGAGTACCGCAGCTGTCATGCCTGTGCCAGCAGCTAAGGCGCTGAATCGTGCCACCCTGAAAATCACTACGTCGCTGCATTTGACAAGAAAACGGTGACCCTTTACGCGAGTTGGCGCCACAAAGAACCGACGCCAAGGTTCCGCACATTGAGGTATAATACTGGGCAGCGAGGTGGCCGAAGCATTTTTTTCTGGGCCCATTCAGCCTGTTGTATCCTTTCATTGCAGGTATGCTCAATCCAGCTTAACACTGTTATGTCCACTAAATTTTGAGATCTGTCGTTGAGGGATCAAACAAGCTTTTGCCTGTAGATTCACCCATTTCAGAGGGCGTCTTGACCAGAGGAAGTGAGGTCGCACTTTACCCTAACCGGACAGTTGCTCCTCAGTATTGTCCGCATCTTCTGGTTTCTGGATCCCCTGAAAGTAAAACACGTTCCTCTGCAGCGATCCCTGCCATCTTTCCATCTTTACGGGTAAATCTTCAAAGCGATGGTGACCCTCGTGTCAAACTGCATCAAGCCGGAGTTCTTTTCAGGTTTTCGATAGCTTAGTCACGGAATAAAATCCGGTATTCAGACGCAAGAGAGCCAGCCGTGTGTGTGTCGGCCAGTTAATTGCAGACGTCCGCTACGACGCCGAATAGACACTTTCGCAATTCCTGTTCGGACTGCGTGTGTAGAGGAAGACCCCGCGTTCATATGAGCATCCTAAAGAACAGGATTTTCTGTGAATTGACAGCTTAATCTTAGAATCTGGAGAATACAAGCCATCTACCTCTATCGGAGACGAGGACAGCATTTAGTGCAAGGACCCCAACCACAAGTTACGACGGCCAAGAGAAAAGAAAAGAACAAGCCACCCTTTTCTTGGATCTCGTCACTTCTGGTGTGTAGTCTGCACACGGGGCTCTTCTCGTTTTCCGAAGTAGAGGGTACTTTGCTTGTTAACATCACAACACAGCTGCGAATTTGATCGGGCTCGCTCCTTATTAGAGGGAAAAGTGGGAGAACAAGTTTCCGAGCACAATGTTATTAGAGAACCGGACACGGGCTTCAGAGGGGCCAAGAAAGTTACAGAAAGAGATTTACATGTTTCAAAAATAAATGCACAACATTTTATTCTATCACCATTATTGACTGAACAGTCGCTTGGATGCAATGGACCATGGAAAGAACTAGCGTGCACATAGATTAATCTGATTAAAAATCTACATTTCTGAAGATTACTTACGATAAGGCATTCAGACGGAACCAGATGCACCGAGGATATCCATATCATGTTGGGAAAACAAAGTTGTGACTGGAATTTTCAACCTACGGATCAATGACCGGCTCGAAAAAAATTGGATTGTGGCATAAAAAAGACTCTGGCTCTTTGCCAAAGTAATATTAAATTCTTATAAATAAAGAAAGGACAGAAACGGATCTGTGGAAGTAGTTCAAAAGAAACTGAACTTCAGCTAATAGGTTCAGACTACATATGAGATAAAATGCAGAGGTGATGCTTACAAACAGCCAAAACTTGAATAAGTCGCTAATTTTCTTGTTGATGGAATGGTACTGACTCCAAAAGTGCAAGGCACATCTCGACAAGTTCTATAATTTACAAAACCGACCACCTACTTCCACACATCTTCACTCTGAATACAACAGAAACCTAGGGATTCAAAATACAACCTCCTTATTGTACAACAGCAGCTTCCTTAGACTAGAAGACGATTCTAATTCAAATCGACAGGAACAGGGTGATCAGGAACCAGCGACGTGAAGAATGACGTGACGAACGAGTAACATGTAGCGAAGAATACTTGAAGAGTACTCGGAGGTGTCGGCGCAACGAAACCCGTCTGAGCCTGTAAGGTAGAGTATTTCACCTCAAGGTAAAAATTCATATAGGCCTGAAAACGCACGTTTTCTGCTGTGTCGTGGGACTGTTCCCCTGTGTTGTTGTTATTAACATTCGGCTCAACTGGCTCTGCCATACGAGCTTGCCTTTGATGATTTCTCCTCAGTTGAATGAAGAAAATAAATAGGGCGATGGTTACCACAGCAAGGAAGCGTTCAAGGGAAGAGTAAAGCAATACCGCCTGCAAAAAAGCACCATACTGAAGCGAAAAACATCGATATTCGATGATAAAAATCAAACAGCCACGAAATATTTCAAGTGCTGCAACAAAAAATGGTATTTGAGGGCATACCGAGAGGAAGAGAAGCACTCGGAAAACTTTGTACACAATGTCCAAAACGTCACGTCCACCTCCTGGAACGGCGGCAACATTGGGTTCACCCGGAATCTGAAATTTGAATGCCTTTGAAATGACGTGTGAATTCTCATTCTTTATAATAATGACTCTTTATGCGAGAGTAAAATATGTATACCACTCTCTCTAACACCTACATCACCCTCATGTTTAATTTGAACCCGCTTTCTTATTTTTGATTCTATTAAAAACTTCCGAAACACATTCTTTATACCCTTTCTTTCTCCATCACCCCAAGTTTCCTATTTCTCTTCCGTCTATCTTGATTCCTTTAGGCTTCGCTTCCCAACTGATGAAAGCACGACTACAAAACCAGCCATGATTCGAAAAAAAAAACCACGAATCAAAATCTTGTAACAAAATGTTTTGACTAACTCACTACTTCTTCCTTAGTTAATATAGATGTCTCGACAAGTGTTAAGAAAGAAAGGTGACCAAGCAAGAAGAACTTCCTGTTACCTGTTCAGCTGCAGCAGCCTACATTAACGTCATCCTGAGGAGGAGCTGCAGCGTGGGCTTGTCCACCCTGATTTGCAACCTGTGCAACATTGATATGCATGGCATGTGCGGCGGACTCACTAGCGCCCATTCCTTGAGCAAAGAGTGCGCCATATCCCATGTGACCCATCATGAAGTTATGATAACCTTGCCACCTAAATTTAAACATGAATGTCGACTGATGAAGTGAATTATTAAAATTTTAGAACATACTGGTTCATGTAAGCGGCATAGTAACCAGAGTACTGTTGCAGTCGTGCTATTTGTTCAGGGCTAGGACCAGTTGACCCATAATAACGTTGGTACCACTCGTAATAGTTTGTCGTCCAGTCTGGGACAGAAGCTATAGAAGGCTGTGCAGAGGTGGCCGCTACATTCGAGGGATTCCTAAAACGCACAACTTGATCATCTTTACGGACTCACAAGAATTAAGATACTGGAAAACTTGCAACCCATCGATTATATTTAGCATTGAATGTTTTAATAACGATATAATAATATTTGATTATATAACTAGCTAAGTACCTGGACTTGGGTCATGCAAAATTGGATACCATAAACTTTCCTTCTATTCATACAAACCGCTAACTTGGTGTGTCGGTTTGTATGTCTGTATGTATGTCTGTCTGTCCGTCCGCAAAATGAAGTGAGTGATAAGGCAGCTAATGGAATAAACAACCGCTAACAAATCTGGGTAGCTCACAGGACTTGAGATATCAATGTTTTGCAATGGCATGATTGTGATAACACTCCAAGGGCTATATAAACACCTACTTAGCACACTTCCGGTCATTCCACATGGTGCTGCAGTGGCAGCCAAGAGCAGTAGAGGGTAGAGAGATGAGCAAAACCCTTTCTCAAGGTCCTGGCGGTTGAGGGGGGGGGACCAATCTGGTCTTAATGTATTACACGTAATTGGACGACACTAATGCCATTTTGACAGAAAGTACTTTCCGTTATGTATGCAGCTGTCGCAGACCCGTGTAATAGAGGCTATCATCGCGATGAATAACACGCTCGCGTGACTGAACACTGTAGAGGGAAGTGCAGCTGTGACTGCGATTGGTTATGTGAAATGTATTAGCGATCAATGAGTGCCGCTTACACAAGGCTGCATTCACAGTGACGTGGCAACTGCACAAGCAGTGCTGGCGTGTCACACGCAGTCGCACGTGAAACGAAGCCAAGGTTAAGAAGGGTGGCCTGGAACTCAGTTTCAGCAGCTCTCCGCCTGCTTTATACTCAACTTCCCTTGACAGATTTTTTTTTTGATAAATTTCAAGGATCTCTGCCAAAAGAAAAAAATGTTCCCAGACAGCGGGCAGAAATGCGCTCGTTTGAGACCCTCAACCTCAGAACGCAGACGGAACTTGGAAAGTTAGACGTAGAACAGAAACAAAAATAGTGATAAAAGCAGAAATCAATACAACCCCCATACAATCATTGTGACAACAATAATAGTAAGAACATCATTATGATTACTGCGATAAGGACTCACGATTGACCAGACGCATTTGGAATCTGACGGTGCCGCAACTCAGGAGGACTAGACTGTGGCAAAGGACAAACGAGGTGAAGTACTTGTGGCCCATCAT